TTCCCTGCGTTATTTGCAAACGCTGACCCTTTCCCCCTTCTTCTAATATTCACACCTGCCCGTCCTTTCGTCCTATACCATTCCAGGATCCATCCTACTGCAATGACTTGCTGTTTTCTGGTCGCCTGTAGCCTCTCTCTGTCGAGGCTGTACTATAGGTAGGACAGATTCACAATTTTATTTGGCTGAGGGCTAACCGAGAGACCTACCTGTGAGGGAAATTCGTGAGGGACATATCTGCAAATTCGGGAAAACATGAGGTCCCGGTACTAACAGGATTCCCTACAGCTACCCTAACTGCGACTAGCAGGCCGGGCTACCCCTAGGACAGACATGCCCTAAGGGCCTATTCTGATAGACGGTCCTATAGCCTATAGCCAGGTCCGGTAGAGGCCGAGAGGCCGAAACAGAAACGGTACCGGTCGGTCAGTCAGTCCGGTCTAGGTCGAGTCTAGGCTAGATTAGTCTGTAGATAGAATGGGCACATCGGTTCAGGGCTTTTGGCAGTTGGTACTGAGTACATCGCTGCTGCACTACGCGTGAACCGGAAGTGGTGACGGCTCAGCATGGAAGGAGACAGGCATAGCCAGACCTTCAGAGTGCCGGCCATAGCTGGGACCTGCGCTGTACTCTGCCAGCACGCAGGGGCTGACAGAGGTCTGGGTTATCGAGGTCTGCTGGAGGCGAGAGAGGTTGGTGCCCGCTGGACCCTCCTCCGGAGTGGGGTTCCAGGGTGGTGATGCTGCAGCCATAGCTGCAGCTTCTTCCTCAGAGGTCATCTTGTCAGGGTTTGGTGGTGCTGCGGCAGACTTCCACCCGGGAAGTCTTCCGATACTTCGTCATCATCAGATACTGTGGCGCTGGTCTTATTCTTCATCCTCTGAGTGGTGCTTGGCCTCAGAGGCCTGTTTCAGGGCGGCGCTTCCCTCAGGAGACTGTATCTGGGTGGCGCTTGATGTTTCAGGGGCTCAGGGGTGTTACGGGTGCTAATCAGGGTTGGGGAGTGAAGCGCTGCTCATTTCTGAGCAGCGCACTGTAGTACTGAAGTTATCCTGACAATTCGAGACTCTGAGTGTAATAAACAGTGTGTAACTGGGTTTGGACTAGCATCGTTTCATTGTTTCCTGGATGTGATCTGCTCGGCTTTTCTTTATGACTGGTTGTGAGGATTGAGCGGAGTGAATAGCACTTTCAGTGTACCCTGTCGTATCACATGGTCAAGTCTTCCGCTGTGTTATCTCTCCCTGTGCGGCGTGATACTCCTATCCTCTCCCCTTCCTTCTGTGTATGTATGGGCATACCTGGAAGTCTATGTGAGTGAGTGTTGGTCATCAGACAACAAACAACCAGAATCATAACACTACAGCAATTCGAATGCAATCATGAGGGAGCTGGCTGAACATTTCCTTGATATCATAAGTTGCTCCTACCAGCAATCCTTTCCCTTCAGAGCAGACCCGAGCATTTACTTCACCAATTCTGTCCTTCAGCAGATTAGTCGACTTGAGATTAAAGTGTACTGACTTTGGCAGCTGGAAGAGCAGATGGTTGAGAGCTCTTGCTACTCTTCCTCCTGCCATCTTTGTTGGTTCCGAAAATGCAGGACTTATCGGACAAAAACGGCATATATCCTTCTGTTTAGGAATGATATAAGCACGCCCACACGTACCACTTCGATCCCATTCCCCAGCACCTCCGAACCTCGCTCCTTATAGGCGGCTTCACATTTGACAAGCACTTCAGCTTCAGTTTCCCACACCGCAGAAGAACTCCGACTACCCCAGAATGTGCCGCGCATCCCCTCAGGATAGCACGCACGGTTCGGAGGGAAGCTTAGTCAGATTACACACACTGCTTACCCTATCTATTGGGTCGTTGGTTCGAATCCAACCTAGGGAGCTGTTACGTGTGGACACATCACAACAGTTTCGGCTGAGTTTCTGTCCACCGCCGTTAGTACCAACCCACCAAACATTTCCTTGCACTTCCGAACCTCGTCCATCAACCTTCGATCATGATCCCTCCGTCCATTCCAGCAGCGAGCGACCTCATCCAACTGTAGTGTCAATTTCAACCCGATCCTGTTTAGCGAATCATTGACATCCCGCATGATTTTACCCCCCTGGTGCTACCCCCAACTGGAACTATGTTGAGAGCATTCTTCACAAATTTATGTAGTATGAACTGATCCTAAGTCACTAATTCAGCAAGTCACGTGACCCTCCACCTTTGGGAGGGCAATGTCTGCGCAAGCACAGACCCCCACCTTCTGCTGCGCAGCAGATCGGTGGTCATGAAGTATGTTGCCAACGGTTGGATTTTTCCTCCAGACCGTCAGCAGCCTTCGGCACATGAACGCAGCGAGTGACTCGGGTAGCTCCGTTCTTAACTTATTCTCAACCAGTTCCCGTACTGCTTTCATAGATATCCCGAAATCAAAGGTAACTGAAACGCAGACCTTCTTTCTAATATTAAATCGAAATTTCTGCCAGAATGTCCTTAAGAGTCGATCGGGAAGCCGTCGTAGAGAAACAATCAATTGCTGATACCAGTTTCATCAGCTGATCGATCCCATGCCTGTACAGTTTTTTCTTGTTCCATTTGTTCCGTAGGAGTTGGTATAGCTCTCACTTCAGCTTAGCCTTCTCAGCCGACAGCTTTCTCTCCCGTAACTCGACTATCTCGAACACACCTCCTTCCTCAATCTTACTCCTCAAATCTACAACCGGCTTAAAATCAGTTCCTGTGCTGATGGCAGTTGCGCCCATCTCTTTAGTGATGATTTCCCACTTCTGTCCCCTGATCTTTCCTCCTTCTGAACTGAACCTTTTCCCTCCCTTCCAAGCAGTCTTACAGACCTGAGTTAGCTTAACAGATCTCAACCCTTCGGTTTCGAAAGCAATAGGTAGTTGCTTAATCACATCGTGACCTCTCCCTTTCCTCCTCTCGTTCCTTCCCTTCCTATTCTTTTTCCTCTTCCTTCTGCCTTCACCCCTGGAGTTAAGGGACGGAGACCATTTTATAATGTAAACCCGTTCTACTTGTTCAAAATCTCGGGCGGGAGCGAATGCAATAGGGATAGCAACGTAGTCCAAGGAACCTGAGTGCCTAAGCCAATTATACAGCTTTGCGTTACGGTTGCTATCCCTGTGATTTGCTCTGTACAAATGCTCCTCCCAGCATGTAAACAGGCTTCGCCTCGTCTGGCCAATATAAACTTCCCTCGAGCCTGGGAAAGGTAGCGGTGGTTCAACCGGACAAGAACTGCAACATCAACATTGGAATGTTTTGGGACAAATTGAAAGGTCCATACTCCAGATGCATTCAAAATGTTGGCATTTGGCGAGGGGTGCCGCGAGGCCCAATCCCTCTCCCATCCTCGATACTTTAGAAGCAGAGTTCTTCTTCTTCTTCTTCTTCTTCTTCTTCTTCGTCGTCTTCTTCTTCTTCTTCTCGTCATCTTCTTCTTCTTCTTCTGTCTTTTGTTTTTTTGTCGAAAAGCGAGGTTCCACTTGTTCCACTGGGATTGAACTTGCACCGCAGCACATAGACTATCTCCCCCCCCCCTAACCCCTCCCCCCCCTCTACCCCACCCCACCCCACCCCCTTTTGCTTGTTGAGAGCTAACCTGATGGTTAGTTATCCTGTCGAGGTTTAATGAGAAAGCCGTGGTGGTCGTTGGAGATATGTGTATCTCAAAAATTGGAACGATACAGAGAGAGAAGATTGATTAGGATGGGCCTGATGGCGCAAGCAAAGAAAGCGTGCTAAGTAGAGAAATGGTCCAAATTTTTGATGCCCTTAGATGTTCTTGGCCGCATGTGCGCTACACTGATGAATTCAACAAGTCTTTAAAAAACAACAACAACAAAAAAAAAAAACAGTCCGGGTGTGAGTGTGTCTTTTTTAGGGTCTCCATTTCCTTTTCCCATCTTTGTGTAGTGTTTTTTTTTTTTTTTTTTTTTTTTTTTTTTTTAACCACCAGTACCTCCGAGTCTGTTTTTGCGGACCCTGATTTTCACTGCGCACCGAGTTTGGCCAAGCCGGGGCAGTTTGATCGAAGATAGAACAAGGGAAAAAGAAAGAAAAAGAAGAAAGAAAAAAGAGAGACTTCCCGAACGCCTTGATAACCACCAGATGCATTCTAGGAGGTGCTCGTGTGACTGTGCCCTCGGTGAGGGCGTGTAAGGGAAAAAAACAGTAATGCAACGGAGAAAAGAAAAAAAGGAATCCCTTATGCTGTGATTGAGGGTGGATACATGATGCTACAGCAGTGAGGCAGGTACGTGCCACGAGTGAAATACGCCCTGCCTGGCTGGCAGGGCGCTACAATGAATTGAAAACAAAAACAAAAACAAAGTGAAAATTTCCTAAAAACAACTGCCGTAGTGGCCAGATACATTCGTAAAAGCACTGGTGTGACTTCCACCCTCGTGAGGGCCTTCCCCGATGTCCCCGGAGTGGGGACTCTTTGTTTTCTTTCTCTTTTTCCTTCTTTTTTTTTCTTTTTTTTTCCGTTGGCCTCCAACCGAGCCCCGAGCCCCGTGTTTTCGGTGGTAGGCTACTAGATGGACTTTGCGTTTGCCTGTGTCCCCGACGTCGCTGGAGTGGGGACTCTTTGTTTTCTTCTTTTTTTCTTCTTTTTTTTTCTTTTTTTTCTTCCTTTTTTCATCAGCCTCCAACCCTGGCCCGAGCCCCGTGTTTTCAGTAGTAGGCTACTAGATGGACTTTGCGTTTGCCTGCGAAAGGTACTGGTGGTTTATCATTCACTTCTGTAGGTTTGCTGGTAATAGGAATATCTGAAAAAAGTTAAAAAAAAACTCTTCACCCATGTTTAAAATTTCACATTGATAATTCCTTGGACGTATGGAAACGGGATTTTGAGGTCCCGGGCCTCGGTACTTGGAATTGGAAATGAAATTTGAAGGTTAAGTTAAAAAAAAAAAAAAAAAAAAACGGAACGGTTAACATCATCGTCAATGTGCATTGAACTTGTACAGATGGATATATATGGAAACCCGTTCGGGGTACTGTCAACGCACCCGGTCGCGCCCTTCATCTCGATGCACCATGTTGGTGTCATTGACCCGTTGATCCCCGGAGCAAGCCGATTGGATGGGCTTAAGCGAGCAACACTGGGGTTGCACGTGAATCCGGGAAGTTTTTTGCAGCAAACGATCTACATCAACAAGACGAAGAAATTCTCGTTGTCTGTGGCTTTTGGGTATTCCGTCCAATTTTTCCCAAGCGCAATGAGGGTTCGCGAACTGGAGCGCCCCGAACTCACCTTTGAGTCCTGGCACCACAGTCGTGTACGGTACGAGTTCCCTTTCAACGTGCGGGTACCGGATAAATCAGTTTGCAAGCACCCATCGATCTTCTTCGTGACATCAGTGACTACCAACGAAGCAGGCCAAGTGGTTAGCGTCTACTCGCGGGATGCCACCAACGATCGCAAGAAGATCAAGGCGTGGTGTCGATCGTCCATCTTTCCAAAGGAAGACGTCAAGGAGGTGACGGTCATCAAGGAGCCGGTCGATTGGCGGTGGTTCAAGGTGATTCTTTTTTTTTTTTTTTTTTTTTTAACTTTTTGAATTTTGTTCCCTTGCTACTGTTTTAAGGTTTGTTTTTTTTTTTCCCCCCAACCATTTTTGCTTTTGCAACCCGTCGTGGCTCGCGGTGTGTTGTGTGTACCTTGTTTCATTTTTCTGTCAAGTGCTCTTGTCTCATACTACTGTCTTCCTGTCATCAAGGAGCCGGTCGATTGGCGGCGGTTCAAGGTGTGTTTTTTGTTTTCTATCTTACTTTTTTTTTTTTTTTTCCCAATCCATGTTTGCCTTCGAGGTGAGGTTTTTGAACTTTTTCTATACTACCCTTTTTTTTTYTTTTTTTTTTTTGGCCCCCAACCATTTTTGCTTGTGCTACCGGTAGTGCCTTTGTGCGTGCAAAGTTGCAAACCTCCTTTTCATTCTGTTAGGTTTTTTTTTTGGGTTAGGTGTTTTTTTGTATCATATCATACTGCTGGGCAACCCTCTTTCACTTCCTTTTTTGGCTGCTTTCGACTATTGTCCTCTACCCCTTAACCCCTAAACCCTATACCTTAAACCACCAGTACACGGCCTCAGCCTTGCAGCAAAATAACTTGTCGCCACAAGAAGTAAGAGGCGGGCTCGGGGCAGGGTCGGAGCGTCAGTAGGTTTTCGAATTTTTGGGCCCATCTCAAATCCGTACGTCCCAAAAAACAAAAGAAGCTTTGGTCGTGATTGCTGTTGGATACACTTTTTGGAGTACTCGTGCGAGTTTGCCCTCAGTGAGGGCACTTCAGCAGAACGTAGAAGACGGGGAGCAGGACTGTCGGACTCTCAAAAAATGAACAAAAACCAAAAAAAGCCTTCGGCCGTGATTGCAGTTGGATACACTTTTTGGAGTACTTGTGCGATTTTGCCCTCAGTGAGGGCACTTTAGCAGAACGTAGAACACAGGGAGCAGGACTGTCGGAACCAAAAAAAAAAAGCCAACAACGCCTTGGCCGTGAAAGTGGTTGGATGCATTTCAACGTCGCCTTGCCAACAACGCCTCAGCGAGGGCGTTTTGAGCAAGAGGAATGTGCGCTGCCTTGCTGGCAGGGCCAGGAAGAAAACAAACAAAATGAGAAAAAAAGGAAAAACAGCAACGTTTCCCTCTCCCCGTAATAGTGGTCAGATGCATTCAGGAAAGTGATCATTTGCGTATGGCCTCCATGACGTCCTTTCACGACATCATTGCTCTCTGGCATGTTTGTTCCTTTCTTTTCTTTTTTTTTCTTTTTTGAAATTTTCTCCCTTCAGGCAGACCGCCGGCACCAGTGCCACTTCGGAAATTCCCACTGCAGGTACCCTCACGCAGAAGGCTCGGAAAATAATGGCGCGCAGTGGGCAGATAGGTTTGGGATTTTAGGTGCGGGTGTACTGGTGGTTAAAGCCCTAAAGCCTAAACACTAAGCCAAGAGTCAAGGTCCCAGTTAATCACTTGTGCCTCAGGTATGCGGGCATATACTCGCACTGGTAGGATTTTTTTTTCTCAGCTTTGGCCGTTATTGCAGTCAGATACATCCTTAAGTGGTGGTAATTGCGGCCAGATACAGCCTGGGAAGTGCTAGTTGGAGTACGCTCCGAGTATCGTTTGAAAGAGAGACCGAAGTTTGGACTCTTTTCTTCTCACGGCATTTATCAGGACGTACACACACTCCGACTTTCCTGAATGTATCGGACCTAAGTTACCGCCTGCCCTGGATGTATCTGTTATATAACTCCAGTTACATTCAGAGATCACTCAAGAAAATGCTACCTGTGAGTACAACACCCTCAGACTTTTTCTGCGCTTCCTTGTTATTCAAGGAGTCGGTCGCATGCCGCTTCAAATCGCCCAAATAGAATGCCCTCTCATTATAGCTGTACTTGGGGCAATTTTCAGTCTAGATACAGCCATGGAGTTGATGAACAGCCTTCTGCCTCTTTGAATCTCTGTTAAGTTTTGTTGATGAACTCGTCACGGTCCCTTTCCCCATAACCCGTTTGCTTTCCAACGAGTTGGTCGTTGTAACTGTACTTGGGGCAATTTTCAGTCCAGATAGAGCAATGATGACCGGGTGTTCTATCCGGGGTCCCCATCCCACCCATTGCACGCTACCGTCTTCACCTGAATAGAACGGCATCGTCGTCATCATGGCTGTATCTAGACTGAAAATTGGCCCAAGTACAGCCATGATGACGAGGCATTCTATTCGCGTGAAGACTGAGGGTAGTCAGAAATAACTCTGATGAAACTGTGTCTCCAGCACACAGCGACTCTGGACCGGAAGGTGGACCAGATGCGGGCTTTCATGGTCAGTCTGGGATCCCGGTCCGGGTGTCCGGATTGTAGCCTTGGTCTCAACCATAATCGCTGCAGTGCTATTCGCCTTTTACCTGGGTTAGGCCGACGCCCGATCCATACGGGCATGACGGACCGGGCCAGACGGACGGGGGAGGGTCAGTCCGGCAAAACCAGACTAGCCAAAAAACGTCCCAGGAATTTTTTTATTTTTTTTTTTTGAAGATGGGGTTCGACTGCGCTCGCTGAGAGGAGCCCAAATCCCCAGAGAAACTTGTCAAAGGCATGTGTGTTGGGGGAGGGGGGTGTGGGGAGGGGGGGGGTTGTCAAGGGGTAAAACCGTAAAAGGGTGTGTTGCAGCAGCCAGTTCGCTGAGAGGAGGGGTTAGAGGAGGAGGAGGACCTGCAGGTAGTGTATGGGGATGACGGAAAAAGAAAATAATAATAAGAGGACGATGGAGGAGGAGGAGGAGGAGGAGGAGGAGGAGGAGGAGAGAAGGAGAAGACGAAAGTAGGTGGAGGAGAGAAGAAGAAGAAGAGAGGAGGAGGAGGAGGAGGAGGAGGNAAGAGAGGAGGAGGAGGAGGAGGAGGAGGAGGAGGAGGAGGAGGAGAGAATGAGAAGACGAAAGTAGGTGGAGGAGAGAAGAAGAAGAAGAGAGGGGGAGGAGGAGGAGGAGGAGGAGGAGGAGGAGGAGAGAAGAGAAGAAGAACTGCA